AAAATCTTTATATATAAACTAAAACTGAAGAATCAGTATACAAAGAACTTTACCCTTACCCACCTGATATGCTCGATCAAGGTATAATCTGAAAGACAAATTATCATTTTTGTAGTCCAATTTAGGTAGTTCCTAAAAAAGACTACGCAAGTGGTAAAAGACAATTTCGCATAGTTACCGACTATCACAACTTAAACCAAATCACTGTGTCAGACAGATTCCCAATAACAAATATTGATGCACTCCTCGACATATTAGGAAGATGCCAAAATTTCACAACTTTGGATTTGACCTAAGGGTTTCATCAAATTCAAATGAATGAACTATCCATTAAGAAAACGGATTTTAAGACTTAAACCGGCCTACAGCAATATCCCAAAGACTAATGAATAAAGATCTCAATGATATTCTTGAGAAACACTGCTTCGTCTACCCAGATGTTATAATTATTTTCTCAAATATCTTACAAGATCATTATGTGAGCCTTCAAAGGGTTTTTGAAAATCTTGAAGAAGCTAATTTAATGATTAAAATTACTACGGCCCAAGACCGAGGTTTCATGCTTCTACGTTTCTTTCGCTTTAAGTAGCTCTTAAGATTATATTGAAGGGAACACATCGCTCTAAGAAAAATGAAATTTTTATTTGTACATCGAATTTAATTCTCCATTATATTAATGAATGATAATTTAATCTTTTATCTAATAATATATTTTTAATGATCACAGACAGTTAAATTTATTCGGACCGTTTTTCCTGGGACTTTATGCACCGAATTTCGTAAAACATTCCGCAAAGTAATCATCAATTCTATTCTATGAGGGATGGTGTGTTGCTGCGTGGTGGCCAACCAAGGCGGCTATGAGGTTTACGCGCGATTATTGGGAATGTTGAGATAGAAATGCTTCCAGACGGTTGCTCGCATAAGTTAATGAGGGGTTGTTCATTTGAATAAGACTTCTTTGTTGAACTAAACCTAAATATTATTATAATTAATCCGAACTGCACAGAGCGCATGTCAATTCCGCAAATTCGGTTGTTACTAAGCTAGCAAATCAAGAGAATTAAAAATGCAAACAAAGTAAGATAGCTTAAAGTAACAGGACTTAAAGCTCGCTTACTTAAAGCGGCAGCGATTGAGAGAGCCACTAAAGCCGTTATAGCGGCTAATCTAAGCATAGATGAATTTTGTTGGTACTGGATCCTTTCCATGCGCTCTCTTATAGTATGCGCTGTTGGCGGTTACCATGATTGCTCTTGGTGGTAAGCTGTAACCCAAACAATCTCCCCTTTTGATGATAGCAACATTCATTATCATCTTTACGAAACCTTAGCTTGTCTTGAAAATATAAAAGTACAATTTTTCACGTAATGGTTTGCTGTCATTATCAAGCCACTTCTATTGTATGGGTAATGAACAGAGGTTTATTACTGGCTGTTTGACCACATTACTGGTTGTTTTTAAAGTGACAACTCTAAATAATGCGTCTGCTCCGGCATGAGTGTTTATAAATCGAACCAAACCGCTGATGAGAAGAAAACGATTCATCCTTTCAAAATCATCAGCAGTCAGAAAATGAGCGGGTGTTTACACCATGAGATCCCAAGGGTCATTTAAAACAGGACGTCCGTCTTCCCATAATCCACCAAAGTGGACGGTTGAAATAAAAAGTGATTCCCCCACCTATCCTCTCTGTGTTCATAGTGTGTAGATCTTTCATCAGCTGCAGTGACAACACCTCTTCTATCGCCGTTAATGGTCTCTCCATTTGGTTCATGACTGTTAGTTTAACGTTTAACGTTGGAGGTTTCATATGAGGAAAAAATACATTTCCTTTGCCTAATGTATCACTCTTGTCGTTACGTTACCGCCTAGCCCATCACCCCAACGCAGCAGCAAGACAACTTCTACAAACGCCATCGACCAGAAAAACAAAAAAAATCCAAACTGCTGACCTATCAAATAGGAAAATTATATAAATAATTAACACAAATCAATTAATTAAGTTCTTACACTATCTTAAACACAAGCATATAGGAAGATCTCAATACGCTGATAAAAATAATAAAATAAAAATATTAACACAAAAAAAAAAAACAAGTAAGAGGTTCTAGTCGGGAGCGCCCGACTAGGGAATACCCTGAACCCTTTTCTTCCAACACCAAATGCTTTTTACCCATTTTCAATGGGTTCAGGGTATAAAAGCGTAAGGTACAGTTATAAAATTAAATTTCAATTAATCCTTTAATTGATTTTGATTCATTATCATGTTAAAAAAATGTTACTATTAAACTCGTTAAGAAGTATAATAACCGTATCTATAGATTCTATTTGTTTATGGTTAATAATTTATAAATGCAGCTATCATTTCAATAATATTTGATTTAAAATACATACGTATATTTTTAATATTTTTACATTGGCCATTTGTTGTGAAAACTGAATTTTACATTTTATAACATTTTCATATTGGACTTTGACTTCAATTCTTGTTTTTTAAAGGTTTCCAAACTAAGTGTTTTCAAATTTCCTTATCTGATTTTGGACTGTCAATAACGTTAATAGGTTTATCGCCATTTACATTTTTTTTTGTCATTTTTCTGAAATTTGTTTAGCTTTAATTAGTGTTGTTTTTTGTTATCTTGTTTATTCTTTCTATATCTTTCTTTATTACAACTAATTTGATATTATGTTTATACCCTGAACCCATTAAAAATGGATAAAAGAGGTATAATGTATTTGTGCAAATGTTGCTTGTTTCCGATAATCGATAACTTTCCCCTTAATAAATAACAATCGATATCGAAATGTGTTTTTTTTTAGAATAGTATATACATATTAAATATAGTTAATTTTATAGCTATCGCCACCTCCCCTCTACCACCACATAGCTATAAATCAAGTTAATAAACCAATTGTTATTGCCCATTAATTTAAGCTACAGTTTTTGTGCGATCGACTATTTCAGCATATCCAAATATTCTATAGCACAATAAGATCTACTGCTGAAAATTTAAGCAAGATCGGTTAATTAACACTAAAAAAACCTTTCTCTATGAAAATGAATTGTTGTTGTGGCTGGTGAGTAGAGGCGGTGGCAAGTAGTGCGGTCGGTACGGTTTCGTGTCCGATTGGGAGGAACGCATTTTTTATACCCTGAACCCAATGTAACTTGGTAAAAGGGGTATAAAGTATTTGTGGAAATGTATGTAACAGGCAGAAGAAAGCATCTCCGACCCCATAAAGTGTATATATTCTTGATCAGCATCAATAGCCGAGTCGATCTAGCCATGTCCGTCTGTCTGTCTGCCCGTCCGTCCGTCTGTCCGTATGTATGAACGCAAGGATATCAGAACCTACAGACTTGAAATTTTAGCTGTAGGTCCTCCTAATGCCCGCGCCAAATGTCCAAATGGTTCCGTTAATTATTTAGTATGGTATTGGATATACAATTCTTAAGTAATCATATTATTAAATTGATACTCTTGTAATTCTGCTGTGCAGCTATAAATTCCAATCTGTTCACACAAGAAGTGTATCTAGCCGTCGCTATTTCACTGAACTTGACTCTGATTCCGGAACCATAACAATATGATATTTACCACAAATATACACTAAAACATTTTAACTTAGATTCAGAGAATACACACAGACGAAAAGTAACTTTGTAGGGAACCCAACGTTTTTTTTTCTACGAGGGAAAAATCATATTTTTCATAGAAAAAAAAGCGTGCCCATAGGAGCAGCAATTCACCCAAATTTCACCTGAAAGCCGTGCGGACGCTCTACTACAAACACAATCATTTAGTTCTTTTGTATTCTTTTTCGAAGAGAAAAAAATTTATTAAAATATCAGCACATACACACAGCACAAAAAACAAAAAATGGCAATTGCTATGCTGTTGTAGAATTCAATAAAAACGCGCATTAATGTGTGTGTGTACATGTATACAGAAATTCTTACAAATTTGCTCTAGATGCAGCAACCGCGTATCAATATACGCACCCGTTTTCTTTAATAAGTTTTCTTTTTCTTAACCGATCTTAAGGAAATTTTCACCTATAGATCTTATTGTGCTATAGAATATTCGTATATTCCCAAAAAGTCAATTGCATTAAATTTTGTCTTAAATTGGCGGGTAGTTCCATTTGGCTTGTTTATTTGATTTATAACTACGTGCTTGGTGGGTGGAGGGCGGAGTCTGATGATAGCTACAAAATGAAAGGTACTTGGTACTATATACATATGTATAAATACTGTCGCGTGCCAAACGAACGAGGAATTGGAATTTAAGCACTGCAAGGCCCCTGGCCATGTTACTCCGATGTTAATAGAGTCAGCGCAGTGCAAAATGTGCAAGTGCAAGTGTAGGTGTGTTACTAATACAAGTGTTTTATTCTGAGCGAATTACATAAGTCAGAACTTAGATAAATATTCATTTAGAATAATGAGATTAACATTTAAGTAATGGCGGCAACATGCCAAATATAATGTGCAAAGGGCAAAAATACATACTTCAGAATTTACGTAATACTAAATAATCGATAACTTAATTCATTCCGCAACATATATTATTTTAGATGCTACATGTAAAATTTGGTGACCCTGGCACCTAAAACTTAATCGATTTTTATCGATTGCTTGGAAACGTATATTTGCACAAATACATTATACCCTTTTTACCTACTTTTAATGGGTTCAGTGTATAATAAAATAAAAAACACTATATTAATATTAAACTAATAGAACATATTTTAGTTTAATGACTGCAGAAGATCGATCGATGCGAATTAAGTTAAATTGTGCAATGACCCTTAAGTGTTGTTCAAGGGAGCAATAATAACACTGAAAAGACCGCATATGTGAAATTCAGTGAGACGCATGCTGGTGCCGATCAGACGACAGAAGAAGAGACTGTTTCCGAAAATTTCGCATACGACGAAATTTGCCGCAAACAACGTGCAGACAAACGTAACGGTGCTTATCTTTTTCGTTAAAGGCGGGAATCGCCTTCAAACGACAAGAGAAGAAGACGACGTCGTGTCGCGGCAGTTGGGTATCAAAACGCGACCGAAAACGACAATTTGAAGAAAATGAGAATTCCGAACAGCGTAAACGCCGATGGCAAGATAAGAAGCTGACGAAACTTGCGTTTAAGAGCGACGTAGGAAACTCGACGGAGAAGAATCTGAGACGACATCCAGATGGGCAGCTATACACATAGACAAGTGTGTGCACATGAATTGAAGACGACAAAATTAGAGAGTAAGCGAACTGTGGGCGCATTTAAACATTGCGTTTAACAGACTTTATTGTACCATTTTTGCTAACGTAATTCATATGATTGTTTGCTAATTGAATTTAAATTGTCGTATTTAGATGATGTTACACAACACACAGTAGCTGAACGACAAGAAAAATTAACGGAGCTTAAGTTGCAAAGTACAGGCGTTAAAGAAGCCATACAGAAGAGATTTGATTCGTATTTTGATCAAGTTTCAGAGAGTATAGAAGGTTATATATACGAAGAAACAGAAACTTGGAGTCACTTGGAGTAACAAGTTATCGACCTGTAACCATGCGTAGTTAGTTTTGAACAGTCAAAATAACTTAAATGATTGGAATTATTTGAAGGAAGAAACAGGTGCACAAGTTACTAGACACTTGGAAGAAGATCCATACGGAAACTTAAACAGAATATTTCTATAGTATGACCACGCTGGCAAAACAATCCAATTTGAAAGAAAAAGTATTATAGAATATATTATTGAGGGCATTCCGGACTTAAAACAAAAGAAAGGATGTCTGTCCCATGCAACCGCGAAAAAATAAATATAAAAAAGTAAGTGTTGGTCGAGGACGAAGGCTAAAAGTAAAGTTTGAAAATACTCAGGATAAAAATGCCAAAGACGAAAGATGTTGTTTCAAGTGTGGGGCAGCAATCGTATAGCGAGAGACTGCATAGAAAGTGGTGTCAGGTGTTTTAATTGCACAAAGATACAAGGCAAATAACTGTGAAATGAATGAAAAAAATGGTAAGTTTCAAAGGAGCAATAGCCTTGCCAAGCGACGTTTAATAGAGCTTATAAAAATGTTAGAAGCGGTGATCGACAGATAAAACCATTATTTAATTCGGACAGTGACATTTGTTTTATCAGTGAAAGTATATTTACACAGTTTTATCCAGTTGCTTCGAGGTCAGAGTTAAAAGAGTCAATCGGTATAGGAGGCAAAAGAATTTGTACGCTAGGTTGGTTTGAAGTTGATACCAGTTTGGACGAGGATCCATCAAAGATATGCTTCCATGTGGTGCGTGTTAAAAATACCCTATACGAAGGGGTCATAGGTTGCGATGTACTCAATTCTGTCGTTGCCACCATCGGGGCAAAAGGAGTTATTTTTCACGCAGCGGATAGAGTGCCCCGAATAGAGAAGTGCGCTGATCCAAGAAATGAAGATAGTAATTATGCTACGAATATCCACAAGCAAAAGCACATTAATAGTAAAATGGATATGACTATCTCATCAGATTCAAATGCGCGCATATCTGACTAGACCTTTCAACAATTACTAATGGCGGATTTTAGTGAAGAATTCATACCAGATTTAGAACTGTCTCACCTGGAAAGTAATTTGATGTTCAAAGTAGTGAACTTAAGTAACCAGTAAAGCCGGATTCCGGTCCATTCGAAATGAAGTTAAGACACTCAGATGAAGTTCCAACTTTGCACATGCCGCGACGATAATGTGATAGTCAACATTCAGATCCAGAATTGGTTAGAGGAGGGAATAGTTCATCACAGTGTTACTGAATACGCTGCACCTGTTGTAATAGTTACAAAAAAAGATGGTACTGTCTACATAGAGTTAAATGAGAAAATTAAGCGTGATAACTTTCCAATGGCATTGATAGCGACGTTGTACAGAAGCGGCAAAAAGGAAAGGTTCTCACTACGCTATATTTAACTAATGGGTAGTTCATAAAAGTTCGCGGAAATATATCGTTTGTGACTCAGAGTGCGCAATACGGATCTGATTTCATACCATTCGAGAACTCTAACTCCCTGATTTTATACATGTTAAACATAATTGTCCCGTCGCAACACGAGCAAAAGGGATTCGAAAAGTTGCAAAAACTTTTAAATATCGCACAGATGTCAGGCCTGCGTATCAAGTGAAGAGAAAGGTCACACTCCTAAATCGAAAATTCAATCATAAGACCATCAAAAGAGAAAACTTTGGCTATCAATAGTTGTCCAGTTCCACGAAATAGGAAAGGCTGTAAGCACAATAGAGCGCCTCAAATTTCGCATAGGTGGCAACGCCTAGCTCAAGATCTACTGACTTGAGCGAAAATAAGGTAAGAGAGCGAAAGCGTGTGCCCGCCCGTTTCGCTCGGAGGGGAATGAGCGAAATGATGCCCTTTGTAATGCCCTTGGCCTACCACGGTCGTTGGCTTACCTATGCCGTTGTGCCTATGGGCAGCAATGCACTCAAAAATTTTGAACGTATGGGTAAGCAGATTTGTGCATAAGTTTCGTTGCTGCCCATAGCAACGAACAGCCTTTTTTTGTTGCGAGCCAATACGGTCGGGTTGTGCGCAAACACACCGTTTTTAAATTTTCACCCACTCCAAACCTTAGATTAATACGAGAAATATTACATCGGTCGAGACCCACCATTAAACGCCTGTAAAAGTTCGCAAAACTAATAACACCCCTAATCTTAAACATACAAACCTATATAATATTGCGGCGGAACATAAAATGATAAACTTTGTTTCGACCACTAGAATTTATTGGGACATTTAGTGCCCAGCCCAGCCAAAAAATTTATCAGGTAGGATTAGGAAATTTAACAAAATTAAAAGGTAACGAGAACGAAGGGCTTTCTTCGAAACGCCGAAGATTTAATACCCTTGCCGACCCAACCTTTTCATAATGCTCATAATGCTGTGCCCGTATCTAAGAAGTAAAGGAAAACTAGTTAATGCCGAGAATGGTAAAGATATCTTGAAAAACAAAACATTCCATACAACAAATTACTTTTCGACCGATCGTTTCTATGGCAGCTATATGATATAGTATATTGAAGCAAAGAGGATTTTGCATTAATGTAGGGAGCATAGTAAAACCAACGACAATATAAACAATAAGATGAGTAACGCCATACAACAAACTGCTACTATGCAGCTTGCTTTTCTGAAAATTGAGAACGAAAACAAAATCAGTATCATTACGCTCCCACAGCCGAAAGAGCGAAAAGCTAAAAATTGAATGTATTCTCAGCTTCGGCTCTATGAGGGCCGTGCAAACAATTATGTCTGTATGTGTGTGAATATACATACATAATAGCATATTTGAATGTGTTGTTATTCACAGCTCTGGCTTTGGCTGGCAATGAAATAAATTTTGTTAGATTTCTAGCCCTGATCATGCATGACCTATCCCAAATATGTATTCACATACGAATGCATGTTGTGAATTGAGGTTGACGTCGTTAGCTAAAAAATAATTTAAACAAAAAAAAGTACAGTACAAAACAAGTAAAAAAAGTAGTACACAACATGCATTCATATATGAATACAAATTTGGGATAGGTCGTGCATGATCAGCGCTAGAAAACTAAGAAAATTTCTTTGCCAGCCAAAGCTAGAGCTGTGAATAACAACATATATACATATTTTGATGTAATTATGCATGCATAATTCACACATACAAACATAGGTGGTTGCACGCCATTGGATGAGACAAGAACTTCTCTCGAGCATACACTGTCCAAAAACAAAAGTGAAATCAATCTATGTGTGCTATTTTCTTAACATAGTTATTGTACAAGATGCACATTGTAAAAAAATTATTTTATTCTTCAATTTTCCTGTAAAATTTATCGTTAGTACCCTAGATAAAGTACTATGCGGCTATCGTAAGATTAAAACTTTTTCGGTCAATGTACTTCGAAAACGAAGCGAAGCAAAGCACCATCGACCAGCTTTGCTGAAGGCAGGCTGGCGACTAACCTCGTTGCTCGTGTCAGCGCATCAGCAAGCCGCGTTCGTCTGAACGAACAGCCGTCGGCTCGCATGTCGTGCGAAGCCTCAAAGTCCAGGCTAGAAAATTTGTGTCGCATACAAATGTATGGGTGTTATTCATGTTAGTGTTTATATTGTCTTTGGTAAAACTAATAATTACCGAGTTTGGTCAAGATATCGTGAAAAACAAAAGAAATGTCCATACAACTTTATTTTTGAACGATCGTTCCCATGGCAGCTATGTGTGGTCCGATGTTGATGAGATTTTGCATATAAATGAGGAGTATGGTAAAACTAAGAAATGCCAAATGTTCAAGATATCTTGATAAACAAAAATGTTTTTCATACAAGAACCTACTTTTCGACCGATCGTTCCTATGGCACCTATATGATATAGTGGTCCGATCCAGCTGGTTCCGACGTATGTACTGCGTGCAACAGAGAGAGACACTTCTGCATGTTTCATAAAGATAGCTTTTAAACTGAGAGACTAGTTTGCATAGAAACAAACAGACGGACAGACGGACATGGCTATACCGACTCGGCTGTTGATACTGAGCATGAATATATATACTTTATGGGGTCGGAGATATCTCCTTCTTTGCGATACATATTTCACGCCAAAATTATAATACCCTCTGCAATAATAAAAGTACAAGCAGCTCGAACGATAATAAATAGTTAACACTAAATATCCATAGCTGATTCCGGCACCTAAGGGAGCTACGCGGAGGACAACAGGCTGGTCCACCAAACTCGCAAGCCCGTCAGCCGTGGCCCGGCTAATCTCATCGATGCGAGAAGGATCCTTCCAAGAGAGCCTGTCGACGACTACCGGCTTTTTTTTGCCTCGTCGCTGACACCAAAAGTGGACCAGGAGGCGAAAGGCAACGGGGAGACCACGCCCACATCAACCATATCACGAACAGCGAGGGAAAGACCCAAAAGTTATTGCATTTGCCCAGTTAATATAAAATCTTGCCTGCACGAACAATACACAGATACATACATACTTTGAAATATCCCTTTATATCGGCCCTTACCGCCCCCAGAGAGCTCTTTAGACAGGGTAAGGAAGATAAAGCGATTTCACACATAAATTACCTTCTGCACGAGTGATTATTGTAGCATACACTGTTATAGTATGTTTATTTGCGTGGGTATCTTGTTCCTCATTAGTGAAGAGCACCCACTTGCATCTTTAAATGTATACTCCTGCGGCAACCGTCAATAGCATTTGGCCAGTTTCTCCGCTTGTTCCTGATCTTGCGAAAAATTTGTTGAAATGTATTTGGTAAAAAAAAATGAAACTTTAGATATCAATATTATTGTAATAGCCTCCGATTATACGTAACTGGTACAAGGACTCATGTTCGGTTGAGTTTGTTGATAGTGGGGAGGGGAATGTCCGCGTCGATCGGATAATTGCCGTCTTAAATTAAAGGGTGGTGACATATTAACAAATTTTTAGTACCACAGGTACTGTGCGATTGTTCGGGTCGGTTGGTACGGGGATACCCCCCTAATGAAAGTACTGGCCGGCAGTGTCCCTCGACTAACAAACCGGCACGTAACAATATGACTATAATAATGAAAAATGTAGTAGACGAAATAGGGAAAGTAATAAACGTAATGGTATTATAAATATGAAACGCAAAGCGAAAGAATTTCTGTATATATGTGCAAACATATATATTCATATGGGAGTCTCTTTTTTTGTTTTTGTTTAATTCTATGTTATATAATGCATCGCAATTGAGAATGTATTGCATTCTGTGCAGTGTGTATGTGTATTTGTTTTAATTCAGTTTATTTCGTTGAAACTAAATTCTTAATATGGATGTGAAGCATAAGCATTAACCAAAGAGCATATAGATGTGACATGCCGTTCAAGAAATGTGGGCACTAAAAAATCGGTGACATCTAGTCCAAAAAAAGGGTAAGATGTACATATGATGTCTTTTATTCGCTTACACTACAGGAAACTGTTTTGGCTTACTCTCTTCCATATGATTTGTGCGAGAGAACGGCATCGCTGTTTATTTTTATCTCGCTCGCCCTTGCTCTCAGTGATCTCAATGCTCTCTTTATGTCTAGGTACCGTTTAAATATTTGTGTGTGTATGTGTCCGCACAAGCAAAAATGCCTAAAATTTCAATTTTTCTCAAATTGGCACCAACAGGCACACAAGCGCATAAATGCTTCTATTCATATACAAAATATGCAAGTATGCGTGAATAGCAAGTCCAAAAACTTCTAAATGCACACATGCCAACGCTTAAGCGAATAAAAGACATCATATGTATATCTTACTCTTGTTTTGGACCAAATGTCACCGATTTTTTAGTGCCCACATATCTTGTACGGCATGTCCCATCTATATGCTCTTTGGTTAGTGGTATAAGGCATTTAGTGCATTTGGTGTTCGTCGAAGAATGTTCAGGGTGTTCCAAAGAATTCATATATTATTTGTTCGATAAGTACGCTTGCTGTATTAGTCGAGTAACATACGAGTACAAAATCCGTAACTACTCCTGTGAGGATATTGTTTTTATATAATTTTTAACAATACTGACACACACAAACACTCATAACCATAAAAGCTACAGAGATCAAACAATTTTGTAGAGCACAAGATTAAAATGTCATTTAGCCTAGCTACTAGGCATTTAGCCTAGCTACATTAGCAATAGAACGGGCAAGTTGACGCGCAAAACAATTTGAAAAATAAATATAAAACATAAAGAAATAAATAATTTACGGCAGATAATAACGGACGCGCCATTAACGGTCTACTAGCTCTTCAATTCTAGGAGTTGTAATTTTCAATACAACTGTAATTAATATACGATCTTCAGGAATTACTTAAGATCGAATACCTTTATTTGTTTGATCTGTTGTATTTACAGTTTTACTATTACTTTTATCTCTACCTGTTTTAGCAAAAAAAAAAAAAGGATGTAAACTAAAGATACCGCGTATCTTATTCCTTATCAACTACTGTATATTTCACGACTGCATATTATCACTAACCATTCAAAAAACTAACATACATATATTATGAAAGGGCATCAGCCGCAGCGACGTTGTGCGCTGAGCGAGATGCGGCTTCATACTGAAAGTCTTACTCTCTCTGGGCATAACAAAATGGTCGCAGGCACCCTTGGGGCTCACTGGTTGCGATTTATCATGTTTCGATTATTCTGCTGTTTGACGCATCTATGCAATGTATGGTTAGTGATATTATGTGATTGTATTGTCCTTGTAAACTTACTCAATGTACAAATAAACATTTGTGTATAATTATTAACACGGTGAGTTAAGTATAATTGTTTCTAACTAAATCCTCTTACTTTTATCGTTAAAGGTTTGTGCTGAGGAGAAATGTCAGGAAGAGGTAGTTTTATTAGCAATCAATTACATGGATCGCTTTTTGTCAACAAAATCTGTTCGAAAAACTCACCTACAAATCTTAGCAGCCGCCTGCTTATTGGTTGCTTCCAAGATACGTGAACCCACCTGTCGGGCGCTTTCTGCAGAGCTTCTTGTATTCTATACGGACAACAGCATATATAAAGATGATCTAATTGTAAGTAATCCCATCATTAATAATAAAAACTTGCTTGGATAAAAAATGTATTAGTTTTCAAATGGCGTTGTTATTGTCACTAAAAAACGAGAAAGAAGGGCTATCGTCGGCATGTCGAAGATTTAATACCCTTGCAGACCGAACCGTTTCTTAATGGTGATAATGCTTTGCTCGTACCTTGTACTTATAAACACAGGGGCAAAATCTAATGCCGAGTATGGTTAAAATATCTCGATAAACAAAAAAGTTTTCAATAGAACAACTTAATTTTCGACCGATCGTTCCTATGGCAGCCATATGATATAGTTGTCCGATGTTGATAGAATTTTGCATTAATATGAGGAGCAAATTAAAACTAATAAATGCCGACTTTGGTCAAGATATCTAAACAAAAAAGTTTTTGATACAAGAACCTTCTTTTCGATCGATTGTTCCTATGACAGCTATATGATATACTGGTCCTATCCAGCCAGTTCCGACTTATGTACTGCGCGCAACAAACGTACAAAGTTTCAAGACGATTGCTTTAAAACTGAGAGACTACTTCGCATAGAAACTGTCAGACGGACAGACGAACATGGCTTTATCGACTCGGCTCTTGATACTGATCAAGAGTTTATATACTATATGGGGTCGGAGATGTCTCCTTCTATAATAATACATGACGTTAAAAGAATAACGGTTTGATATAAAACTAAACTCTATCTGGGCAAGAGCATTAATGATCGAGGTTTCATGGCTAAACTAATATTAATTTAAATTACAATTGGTTTGAACCAAGTAGAAAATATATACACTGCCGCTCACTTGAAATGTAAAAATGCGTATAGCTCACAGATTAATGCACTTAGTTGTCAAATTTCTTTTGCATTTTGATTCTAATACTACTACCTATTCCAGGAAAAAACAAGTAAGAGCTTCTAGTCGGGAGCTCCCGACTAGGGGATACCCTGAACCCTCTTCTTCAAACACCAAATGCAGCTCCCGCTACGCGCTCGTTTGATTCAGTAGTAATAAAGAAAAATGAAAATAAAAAAAAAAAAAATGTTCCCTTGGCAGGGTTCGAACTCGCAACTAACCGCACCACTTGCCGCTGCCTCTACTCAAGGCCACACCAATAATTGAACTTTAAGGAGAAAAAAACCAATTAAAATAGCAGCACAGAAAACAATACAATCGCATTTGCAATGCTGTTGATAGAATTAAAAGCAAACACGCATGAATGTGTGTACATGTATACAGAAATTCTTGGAATTTGCGGAGCAGCTATGCTGTTAACACGTACGCACATAACTTTTGTGTTTCTTAACCGATCTTAATGAAATTTTCGACAGTACATCTTATTGTAGAATAGAATAAATAATATTTGTGTATTCTCAAAAATTCAATTGCATATAAATTGTGGCTTAAATTGATGGGCAATACAAGTTGGATAATTAACTTGATTTATAGCTTTTCGGTGGTAGCGGGGAAGTGGCGAAAGGTATAAACTGAAAGATACTTGATATATATATACTATTCTAGAAGCTACATGTCAAGTTTGGTGACAAAAAACAGGATTTTGATATCGATTTTTATCGATTACTTGGAAACGGGACAAGTTATCGAATATCGGAACTCGATCTGCGCGGGCATTAGGAGGACCTTCAGCTAAAATTTCAAGTCTGTAGGTTCTGATATCCTTGCGTTCATACATACGGACAGACGGACGGACGGACAGACAGACAGACGGACATGGCTAGATCGACTCGGCTATTGATGCTGATCAAGAATATATATACTTTATGGGGTTGGAGATGCTTCCTTCTGCCTGTTACATACATTTGCACAAATACTTTATAACCTGTTTACCCATTTTTAATGGGTTCAGGGTATACAAAATAGCAGCACAGAAGACAATACAATCGCTTTTGCAATGCTGTTGATAGAATATAAAGCAAACACGCATGAATGTGTGTGTGTGTACATGTATACAGAAATTCTTGGAATTTGCGGAGCAGCTATGCTGTTAACACGTACGCACATAACTTTTGTGATTCTTAACCGATCTTAATGAAATTTTCGACAGTACATCTTATTGTAGAATAGAATAAATAATATTTGTGTATTCTCAAAAATTCAATTGCATATAAATTGTGGCTTAAATTGATGGGCAATACAAGTTGGATAATTAACTTGATTTATAGCTTTTCGGTGGTAGCGGGGAAGTGGCGAAAGGTATAAACTGAAAGATACTTGATATATATATATACTATTCTAGAAGCTACATGTCAAGTTTGGTGACTCTAGCTCATATTATTTGCCGAAATTGCTCAAAAAACAGGATTTTGATATCGATTTTTATCGATTACTTGGAAACGGGACAAGTTAACGAATATCGGAACTCGATCTGCGCGGGCATTAGGAGGACCTTCAGCTAAAATTTCAAGTCTGTAGGTTCTGATATCCTTGCGTTCATACATACGGACAGACGGACGGACGGACAGACAGACAGACGGACATGGCTAGATCGACTCGGCTATTGATGCTGATCAAGAATATATATACTTTATGGGGTTGGAGATGCTTCCTTCTGCCTGTTACATACATTTGCACAAATACTTTATACCCTGTTTACCCATTTTTAATGGGTTCAGAGTATAAAAAGTGCTGATTAATTTGCGTAAAAAACGCACCAAATCGATTAAGGAAGTAAGAGCATATTTGTTTTAAATATTGATTTCATTTATTTATCATTGTTATTTTCTGTTATTTGGTGAAATGAAAAAATGAGATGAAGATTACTTTGAAAGATTTAGGGGCGCTGTTCAAGTGAGCGGCAGTGTATATGTAATTGGGAAGGTAGATTAGTAGTACACCGCGTACTAGTATAGCCGCGATTTAAATAACATATAATTTACATAGGATATGCACTTGATATGTGTATTTCGATATGTTGGCTTATTACCTTTTAATTTGTTCACACAGTTTTCAGTATAATCCACTGCTTTAGTATAATCCAACGATGTTAGCAGTCCTGTTGACGCCGATGATGGGCTGTGTAATCTTATGTTAATATACACGCTAAAGCAGGATCGAAAGACATGTCAGTTATAGAAAGCGAAAAAAATATGCAATTTAGTGTGCGCGCTGGATAGCGAATTACCAGATCGGCGCTAAAGAAATTCCCGGTATCAATGGGTCGAACACGTGGTCTGTTGTCTGCTAAAAGCTTGGTCCGGCCTTAGGCAATACGGTTGTTTTTATCAGGCTATCGCAGATTGTCGAATTGGCATCGCCAAAGGGTACAATTAGTCCGTAATTTTTACTGCGTAATGCGTGACGCAGTAGCTTGCGGATACTAAGACTTTAGGAAAGACGCACTTCGACGCCACATTTTTCCCTTCGGAAATTAATTGATCTGATGAACAGTTCTTTTCGGGCGCTCGGGAGTACCTGCTGTATATATTTACTTTCTTTTCAGAGACTTTGACTTCGAGCTTTGATGCCGATGCCCGTGGGTTTATTATACCTTTATTTAACTTTTGCCTGAACTCAATATATTGCGACTGCACTCGTTGGTATAACGAATTGAAATTCCAAGCGGCAACTAAACCTTTTTCTAAGACACGATATTTTTATTTCCAACGCCTTCATTATAAGCATAGGTCATGGTCACTTTGATTATGTTAATAGCCTAAGCTGACTATATTGATTTACATATATGTTATCGTACCATGCTGCCCATCGCTCTCGATTGCAATCAGCTGGCAATAATGGTTTATGTAAATTTGCAAAAATAAGTTTATTCACACCACAACTAGTCCTTGTTTTTTGCTTCTGCCATTTTAAGTCCGGGTAGCTAGGAAGCTTTTATTTTGTTCAATTATGTTGATTAAGACGGCTAGATTTTGCGAAATGTGTAAAAAAGGTATCAGACAAATTTTCACAAAGATCTCTGAAAATGATTTTAAAGGCGATTGTGAATTTATCACAGTAACAGGTAGAGTTTAAATGAACCACGTGTCTATTTAGTTTTTATAAAAGGCTTTAAAGCCAAACGGACAAAATTTAAATTTGTATTCTGCAAAATTAGTGAAGCACGTATCAAATAATTTTTATAAAGATCTTTCGAAATTAATTTGAGCCTGAAACTTCACCCACCAATCCCAACCCCCATTTCCACCAAAAAGGTATGGATTTTCCGAAAAGTGCGAAGCGCCTCTTAAATGAATTTGAGCGAAGATCTTTAAAATCAAAAAAGTTTAACGTTTTTTCGCGATTTTTTTACACTTGCAGGTGGAATTTCCCAAAAAAACCCTTTTAGCGTGCACATAAAGTAATTACAATGAGAATTACAGCTTTCCAACTTTTACGGTTTGGGCTGTGCGTTGATCACAAATCAGTCAGTCCGGAAAAAAAATTATAGAGGTAGATAAACCTTACCAAAGTTGTAAGGTTTTTAGATTATTTAAAATTCCATTCAAATATTTATAATCTGTAAATTCTCCACGAGAGCCGACTTATCCAATTTGATATATCTAGTTCGTTTGTAAATTTTGTATACCCTGAACCCATTAAAAATGGGTAAACAGGGTATATTGTATATGTGCAAATGTATGTAACAGGCAGAATGAAGCATCTCCGACCCCTAGCCATCTCCGTCTGTCCGTCCGTCCGTATGTATGAACGCAAGGATAGCAGAAACTATAAGAGCTAGAGACAAATAGAAATTTTAGCTGTAGGTCCTCCTAATGCCCGCGCAGATCGAGTTTGTTTCCGATATTCGATAACTTGCCCTGTTTCCAAGTAATCGATAAAAATCGATATTGAAAACTTGTTTTTTGAGCAATTGCGGCAACTAATATGAGCTAGAGTCACCAAACTTGAAATGTAGCTTCTAGAATAGTATATATATATCAAGTATCTTTCAGTTTATACCTATCGCCACCTCCCCGCTACCACCGAAAAGCTATAAATCAAGTTAATTATCCAACTTGTATTGCCCATCAATTTAAGCC